CCCCCCCCCCCCTCCCTATTGTCTGGCATTTGCCTGGGTAGCCGAAAACTCGGCATATCGCTGCGTCCCGACATTTTAGGGATGCGAGGACATTGGTCTAGCGACTACGGCATGCACGGCTTTTGAGCACACACCCCTGTTGTGGTTTAAGTACACACTCCTGTTGTGGGTCTTGTCCGGTCGACTTTTGCTACAACTCGTCGGTCTGCTGCACAGCCACTGCCGTGCTCTCGCGTCAGATCGTTTATATACCCCCTCTCCGCTCTGCCCTGTTGCCGGTGGAGGAACAATGTCGTGTGTTGTAGACAAGTACGGACAGAAGGAGGTACTGGGTAGAGAGAGCGGAGCGGTTTTTCATGTGAAGACAGCAACAACAACCCGTCTGCCTTGTTCCCGATGGAGGAACAACATTGAGTGTTTTTGAAGGCGGTTACCACGGCATCTGTGTAGAAGCTCGATCGTCGCAATACCCCCCCCTATTGATCGTTGTCCTGCTATTGTGTAGTCAAACTTGTCGGTGTTTTTCCTTTACAAGCCATTTTGTGTGCGGCGATTTTGGCGCTGGTTACTTGTGATTTGCCGTCGACGCTGCTGCTACAAACACGATTGCAGAACCCGAGTAACGCTCGGACGCTTGTCAGTCAGACCCACGATCATTAGCAATAACAACTGACGACACCACCTTCGTGCAGGATAACGTCCCCCGATGTCTTTGGTGGCTGAAAGACGCGTCCATGATCAAGCAAGCCTTCGAAGCACTGTGCGTCAACGAGCTAAAAGGCTTGGAGTTCGAGTGCGACAACAAATCGAGGTTTGTACGGCTTTTCGGCGCAATGCACCGACGCCGGGGTGCGGAGTTTTCAGGTCGCTCTATCTGCAGTGACCAAAACATACCCTGTTTCATCCGTTTAGTAGCAAGTCCTGCTGCAGCAATCTGGGCGAAGTGCCTCCGCCACTTTTTTTTTGGTGCATATGTGGTGCGTGCAATACGTATCTGTGAAGGTTTTGGACCCTGAGTTCGAGACGGGGGTTGAGGGCCACGCTATTCGCTCGTTCTCGCTTTCCAGGGCTGTAGCAAGCGCACAACGCTCAAAGTAGAAATTATTATTTCTTGGAATTAAAGTCTAGCATGCCTCATCATTGTGTTTTGTTTGGGCTTGTTTTTTAAAGAACGCCCGAGTGTATGCAGGTCTCAAGATATTGCATTTGCATCCGAGCACACACTGTGATGACCCCGCGATGGATACTCCAAACATACACACAGAACCATATGTTGGCGGCGCAGTAGATGAGACGAACACTCACATTTAGCAGTTTCCAAGGGCTTGACAGCGGGTTCTAAGCTCCCCCCCTCCTGCCTGCACGACATCACCCTCTTGTCCTGCACCGTTTTCATGGATGCATCAGGGGACCTTGCATCAGGACTGGAGAGCAGATGCTGGAACGGGTGGCTTTCGGAGAGTAAGTTATTCTTCGGAGAACGATCTGCACACCCTTTTATCTCTTCCCTATGTACTCACGACTCATGCCTGGGTGATTTGCTGCAATGGGCGAGGGCTTGGTTTGCTTGGAGGTCCTCTCGTTGGGTGCACATGCCGAGAAGAGCGAGATACTTGACCGCCCTCATCCTAATTTTGCCAGCCGTGTTAGAATACTCGCTCCAAATCGAGCGTGGAATTAATTTTCGAATGTCTTTCCTCCCAGAGTGTAGTCTAAGCCAGGAGCTCATTTCCGTCCAAAGGCGGGACCAAAGTTTGCCGTACGCACATCCCAACTGGGTGTCCATGTTCCACCGGCTCGCGTCGTCTCTTTTTCCCCAAACTCCCGCCCCTCGCAACGCGTTTCCACCCCCCACCCCCTCTTAGATACGCCAGGGAAAACCATTGTTGAGCCACCTTCGGCAAAGTAGGAAGGAACGATTGGCCATCGGTAAAGGGTTCTGAGGGAACAATGCTCCGTCCTCTTTCAAGGACACGAGGCCAATGGTCAAACCGCTAAGGCATGCGAAACATGAGAGTACGCCCCCCCCCCCCCCCCCCCCCCCCCCCCCCCCCCCCCCCCCCCCCCCCCCCCCCCCCCCCCCCCCCCCCCCCCCCCCCCCCCCCCCCCCCCC